TGCTTATGTAAAAGATATTAACAAAAAAATAAACATGACAAAATATCTAACCGACTGAACGGAATCAATTTGTAGGTTATTCATTTCCGAGTTCATTAAAGTCAGAATGCTAGACCTAATTCTTGTTTATGGTATAGTGCGGTTTAGCCAATAATGATCCTACAATCAATTCCTCATGTAGTTGTAAACGCGAATCTCTTAAGTATATCCAACTGAGACATTTTCGCTTATCACAACTTATGTATATTTGTGATAAAAAATACACAAATTACAGTGGTATGAGCTGCATAACGTACATAAGATAATTAGATTTAGAACTTTGAAATCTTTTATTGAGTATGTGACCATTAAATCACTATTTTCAAGTTGAATTATTCATTCGCTTTGTATTGTTTGTTTGAATCTTTCCACTGATGTTTAGGAGTGCAATCGATCTGTCTGTTATTGGCATATGTGCATCTTATGCGGATTGCCGGACTTCAATCCTAAACATAAATGGGAAGATTTAAACAAACAATACTAAGTGAATTTACACTTCACCCCATCTCACAAGATGGTGGCTATCAGGACTCAGTAGCTAGGTGGATAATAACGAGTCCTAAATAGGACGAAACGCGCGTCCTGGATTCTACTGCTAGCCATCATCCATCTTTGCTTATAATGGATTGTTCATGTTTCCAAGTTTAATCAATTTGTAATAGACCGTAATTGTATTATTTTCTTTGATGAATTCTTATGTTAAGTTTGACAACAGTCACAGATTCAATAATGCGATGAGAACGATAGTATTATAATCCTTAAAATCCAAACAATCAAACAATACAAAATAATAAATTAACATGAGAGGAAGTGCACATATAAATGTCCAGAATTTCTTTTATTTGCATAGTAAATACAATCAAAATATTCAGATAAATAGTCAGGCTATCACATGTATTTAAAATGTTAATAGATATGCCTTCACAATTAGTCAACTGAATGAGTACAAAGTAACCAATATAAATTGGAATGACATATTTAATCGTCACAGGATTCTCTACTACTATATCAAGTACAAACGAGTAGAGACTTATGCAAACGTTTCATATTAATCCACCATATAAATACTCTTCATTACAAAACTTGCCCTCAGTTTGTATTTAACTCTATCAAAAAACTATTTAGATAACCATTTCATTTTCATTGTATTAGATCCTTTCGTTTTATATCATTTTATTTACACAAAAACTGATCATTGAAATTACCTGGATTATTACTTATACCATCAGAATCAGTGAAATAATCACTGTTAACAATGAAGTGAAAATGTAGTTCCATTGTAAAGAATCCTAGATAAGGACTGTAAAATAAAACAGGTTATGTTCATTTGCTTTCAATTATCTCAAGCATAACGATTTCACAATTACAGATTAGCATAATATGAAGATCCTTAGTAAAATTTCATTACATAATCAAAATAATTATAACTAGCCAAAGCTAGAAAACATAAAATCCAACAACCATACATAAAATATGTCTGAATCAAGTCAATGAAAAAAAAGTTATTTTAACAAACGAGTTTGAAATAATGTCGTTATTGAACTACACTAACCGCCTATTATTCAGTACATTACACTAATCATAAACCAGAAGTATTACAAATAACTACTTGACATATAGTGAAGTTTAAAACACTATCACTGAGATGTAATGCTTCAAAATTGAATACATTTCTTGATGAACTAAATCCAATTCTCCAACACTAAATGTGATCCAAATAATATTGGGAAAGCTTAACTTTTTAACCTCCTTTTTTAATCGTTACTACTAGGCAAGAAATTTCACTATCTACAGAATACATCTAATTAATTACATTTTGCATTTTCTTTACTTTTACACACAGAATAATAAATATAATACATTACTACTATCAAGTAGTACACAATAAAGCTATAACAAACTTTCATATTGTGATTTGAGAACTAACATATCATTCAAGAGTTTAAATGATAATAGTCTAGTAAAGGGGAAAAGATTTCAGATTCATTATAGTCACTAAATAAATGATCAAATTACAATTAATTTTATTTTACATAAAAACAAACCTACGTATAAGCAGAATAATTTCAGTTTTTCAATGTTTCAATTTTGTTTTGTTTTTTGTTTTTTTTTATTCAGTTGTATCAGTTTGACTTTCGTTTTTATGAATAATGATGTGTACTTTGGATTATTCATTTATCGAATAAGATGTGTTACTTTTGTAAAGTGATATTCAACTATACCACTATTGACTCATAATTTCAACTATATATAAAAATTAATAAAAATCTTCACAAACAACCCCCTTATCATATGCTCACTAGTGACTGGTTCCATGAGGTATTTCCTGGAGTTCTAGTGAGAAGCAGTAACCAGTGGAGTTCAACCAGGTCTGTTAGGAGATATCAACTCACTGAAGAATTGGTGAAATGGTTGCTCAACTTCGTGGATTGGTTGAAGTTAGACATTAACACCGTTGGTTGCCGGCTCAGTGGACTATCGGTTAAGTCCTCGCGCGCGAGACTGGTAGGTCCTGGGTTCGAATCTTGCGAGTCAGGATCATGAATACGCACTGCTGAGGAGTCCCATACTAGGAAGAAACGGCCGTCCAGTGCTTCCAGGTTTTCCATGGTGATCTAGCTTCTATTGACTCATAATTTCAACTATATATAAAAATATACTATTCTCAGTTAATTTATTTAGACGAATAAATAAACAATCAGTGAATTTAATTTATGTGTCTAATCGCTTGAATATGAATGCTTATAATGTAAGTTATACACTAACCAAATAGTTAGTAGATGTTAAAGTAAGTAATAACTAATACTTTACAGAACTTTATTGTTTCCTTAGATTTGAACTCTTAAGTCATTGGATCATCATTATAATTTTCTCATCGTCCATTTAACTACTTATGTAACACAACTAACAAGTTCAGATTTATTTAATCAACTTGACATCACTCTATTTAAGTTAGAAATAATCATTCTATACGACTGTGTAAATAGAACTGGACAAAATAGGAGTTACAACCAACGACTTATTGATTGAAAACAAATTACTCTAAAATTGAAGCCATCGTTCTTGGTAGAGTAGTTTTCACGAATTTCTTACTGGTTTTCAGGCTTACTTTATTGATTAATAATTCACTGAAATTCATATCTTCAAAAATAGTTTAACACCTAATGAAACCATATGAACACTGCTGTTTACCCTATCATTAGTTATAAATATATAGCATACTATATATATTACTAGTAAATGTATATAACTGATATAAGTTGAAATATTGACAGTGAAACAGTTTGTTAATTAACTTAAATGTTATCATATAAATATTTTTTAATGTTCGGATGATTTATCCCGTACATTATCTGTAAATTATAATAGACATACATCGATTGTCAATTATACAGATAAATTATTTAAATAATGCTTACTTCTTAATATAATAGTAAACTGATAAATTTAATATTTTAAAAAAAATAATAATCTTTAGTAGTTAAGATAGTGAGTTAATTGAAGCTAGACCACCATGGAAAACCTGGAAGCACTGGATGGCTGTTTCGTCCTATTACGGAACTCCTCAGCAGTGAGCATCCACAATCCCTACCCCCAAGATTCGAACCCAGGATCTATCGGTTTCGCGCGTGGACGCTTAACCTCTAGACCACTGAGCCGATATCCAACGGTGTTAATATCTAACTTCAACCAATCCACGAAATTGGTCGACACGTCCACCATTGTCATCAGTGAGTTACTATCTTACAACAGACCTGGTTGAACTCCAGTGGTCACTGCTTCTCACTAGAACTCCAGGAAATACCTCTTGAAGCCAGTTGATTATTATCAGCAGAGGTTTTTGTAGATATCAATAAACTATTTGAAAATGTTTCAAATCATGACAAATAAAAATAATTGTTTTACAAACAAATAGACAATTGTTTACTGTTTATCAATTTAAGTTTGATGTTTTAATTAACTGTCATAAATGAAAATCAATAAATGTAATAGTGTTTTTCACAAATATAAGCTAGCAATGATCACTTCTGTAATAGCGTCATCATCCTTATAGTATTTTAGTTAGGAAATGTCTCTTACAGGTAATAGACAGATCAGTTACCGAACAGTAGACATTATCCTACCCAAATATTCTTCAGTACTATCAGTTTCATACATAATACATCATGATATTGAATTGTTTTATTTTCAAAACTGGTTATCATTACTACATGGATAAGCATCGATATACCGAAGAGAAAACAAGATTATGTTTATTACTCAGTCAGTAATCTAGAAGCACAAAAAATGTAGAAATTGTTTACAGAAATTCTTTGAGAACCCTAAATTTAATCACTTCATAATTAATAATTATGTGTGCTGCTCTAGTGCGCTTTTTGAAGATTTTCAGAAAAAATAAAGTACTTTGTAAAGTTGTTATATGATACTTACATGTTCTCAAACTTTTATGATGTTTCCGTTACAGATTTTATTTCAATCCCAATACCTTTCTTTTAGGACTTAGATTTTTTGCACTATACGGCTTTGTGACTGTTTTTGGTTTATATTATAACAACCATAGGTGATATAATTCAATTAATCTGTAAAACTGCAAGAAAACAACTTCGAAGTCACTGATTAGTCTGTAGTTGACTTTGCTGTGCCTCATTACTATTCGATACAGATGTAGGAGTGTAAATAGTCTGACAGCGTTAAAAGCTTAAATGTTTTGTGTGAGTTTATAGGTAACAATGCCAGGGTTGAACTTGTTAATTTCAAATAAATTGAAGACTGGGTGGAAAGTTAATAACAAATTTACTATTTATTTGTTTACTATGAAAAAGTGGTTTACATTAAGTCACGAAATGTCAGAAACACAATTTTCTACTCATTTGTATAACAAAACTAGTACATTTATTATTGTTTTGTGTGAAATTTTAGCATTTCATTTTTTAAAATTTCTACTATTGAAATTGATATAGATAATTTGTGCAAATGACTTGCAAAGTCCAAGACCATTAGAAGGATTCGGATTTTCACTTGGATTGAATGGCGCCGACTTAGATGAAAATGGTTATCCGGATATGGCGATTGGAGCAACTGTATCTAGCTCTGTTGCAGTGTTACGGGCTAGACCTGTGGTCAAGTAAACTCCTTCTTTAGAGTGAAATTATTTTACGGTTAATATTTTATTACACATTAACGTGAAATAACTAGAAACATTCAAATAACGTCGATCGTTGAGCTTTGATTTTTAAGATTTAGATTTTCACCATCTAGCTTAGAAACCAATAAAGCAATTCACGTTATGTGTTCTTCATATTTTAATTAATAATTTAAGTACAAATTGCCGAAATTATTTTCATGCTTCGCTATATAAATTTAAAGCTCATGGTTTATTCTGACAATGAATGTACTTATTCTGAATAGAATTTTATTATAAACTCAATACAATATTAACTCATGATGTAGCATGAACGCGAAATATACAACAACATACATTATTTGACTAGCTTCAAGATGGATTTCCTAGAGTTCTAGTGAGAAGCCGTGACTAGTAAAGTCCAATTCATGTCAGGTGTGACAATTATCCACCTTAAACAATGGATGAATGGTTGCACGAGATCGTGGACCGATTTAAGTTAGGCTTTAACATCGTTATTTACCGGCTCAGTGGTTCAGAGGCCAAGCCTTTGTGTGTGAGATCGAAAGTCTTGGGTTGGAGTCTCGCATGCGGGATCATGGATGCACAATGTTGAGGAGTTCCATACTAGGACAAAACAACCGTCCAGTGCTTCCAGGTTTTCAATGGTGGTCTATCTAAGATCAACTCGTAAATTTCACCGTTAAAAGAAACTTTAACATGGAGGTTTGTTTTTCGTGAATATTTCATATTCCATGTGCATTTTTATATTCCTAATTTTGTCAACAATGATTTTTATTGTCTGAATAATTTATTAAATATTAGTAATAAAATCAAAGAAATATAAATGGATGTCAATTTTAAGAATATCGAATGATCAAGTGAAGGCTTTAATAATGATTGCTTCAGAACTATCTAAGTGAACTACGGCAACTATATAATAACTCAAATTATATATATATATATATATATATTATCTCTAAAGTCTAGTAAATGACTAGGTGACCTTATCCTTCCTCCCTCCAGAATTACATTCTTAATGTTCGGTCTTTCTCACTATGGTTTCTACTAAAATTATCTCAACTTTGTTACTACTCACCCTATTAATTTCATCTTGTCGAATCGATGATGTATGATAACTTAGGCTACCCACCATGATGATAATGAATAGCTACAATTGCTTATTCCTGGTATGCACTGGTATATACTGACAATCTGATGGTCTCTTTCTTGTCTGATAACAAAATGTTTGAATTGTCAAATAATATTTCTTGTTCCAACTAAATAGCACAAAAATCAGCCACGAGTGTTATTGTATTATATAGTCGTAATTGTCTTCATCTATGTTAGAACACTTCAGTTTGGATCATTCAAACACTTCTGTTAGATGTCAAGTGAAATTAATTGGAAAAGTGAATTACAATGCCTCAGTATAATCTTATAAATAAATATAGAGATTGTGAGATTGTATTATATTGATCTACACTACATGAAATGTATCTCCATATAAGGAATTTATATTCATAAATCAGAAAATCGCTGAATTATTATCAGTTTATTCTTTCAAAAACAAAAACGATTAACAAATAGCTGTCTGTTGTTGCTTATAGAATGTAAAATGCACACTATGGAAAACTAAGTACTTCCATTTTATTTTTAAATAAGCGTTTTCTAATAATAATTATATGCCCATTATTGACTAATTTCAATAAGTGATTCTCAGAGCTTTAATGGAAAGCGTGAAAAGTGAAGTTCAACCATGTAGTGAATGAGATAGTTACTCAAAAATGTCGTCGGAAGCCGGTTGGTTGAGGTGAAACTATTTCATTTCAGCTGAAAGGTATAAAGGTCAAGCTATCGGTGTGAGACCTGAAGCCCTTAATTCTGAGTCCCAGTGAGGTCTTAGATAGTGGAGGGCCATATTAGGAAATGACAAGTGTCCAGTGATTCCTAGTATTCAACAGCTATGTATTTGAGATCGTTTCGTGATGTAAACCACGCAAAATCTAATCTCGATTGTTTGGAACATTTCAATCCACACAAGAAAATATTGTTGTTTGAATTACATCAGCCAGTTCATCATTGCTGTATAGAATTCCATATGATCTACTTTTATAATCCACAGTTTCTGGATTGACATAAATTTCCATCAAGAAACCTTACACTGAAATTATTAACAATCATTTCAAATGAAAAATATCTTTTTCAATTGTTTCACTGTTTTTTTTCAATTTCATTATCCATATATTATTAAAGTAGTTTTGTTATTTATACAGGCTAAGCGCATATTTAACATTAATGGATGGTAGTACTATTCTGCCTAGTTCATTAAATTCATTAATGGATTGTACTCATGAAGCTCAATCAATTACTGGATATAAAGCTCCGTCAGCTAAATGTATTGATATGAAATTAATTCTCACATACACCAGTGTTGATGGGTAAGTAACAAATATTATATGTGTTATTCATTTAATAATGTGTTTAGACTGTTCATTTATCTTATTTAGTAATTTACTTGTGAAAGTCAATGAAATATTGCATGTAATTATACTATCAACACGGTTTAAAAAGAATTTAGAGAATAATATTTTCTGCAAATAAGAACTATATGTTATCACCACATCCATGTATAAAGTAGTCGTCATTACTTAGCTAACATAAAGAATATACAATTAATATCAAAAAAAGTTACAAACAGTCAAACTTCGTGGATTGGTTGAAGTTAGACATAAACACCGTTGGTTGCCGGCTCAGTGGTCTAGAGGTTAAGTGCTCTGGTGGGAGACTGGTAGGTTCTGGGTTCGAATCTGGCGAGGCGGGATTGTGGATGCGCACTGCTGAAGAGTCACACGATAGGACGAAACGGCCGTCCAGTGCTTCCAGGTTTTCCATGGTGGTCTAGCTTCACCTGACTCATGATTTGAACTGTGAAGTTACTGAAACCTCCACAAAACCCCTTCTTATCTAAAATAGACAATTATCAACGAAATTATTTTCGAAACGATCAAATAAAGTGGTTAAAAATTTCAGTTTCTTTTAATCTTAAAAGCTTTTTCTCTCAACTATTTGTTGTTTAACAAATGAAGTTCATTATTTGTCTAGTTCTCTTATGTAGGTTTATACAAAAAAATTCATTCTATTCAAATCAGAAAGTATTATTATTACTACGATTACTATTGTTATGTGTTTGAAAATATTCTTTAAAACTTTCAATATTCTATTTTGTTTTCTAACTGACTGAATTAGAATGCATACCTATAGCTCTTGCTGGTGGTACGATATCAATTATCAGCAAAAGCATACTTAACTGATGGCTGAATCAGATTTAATTTCACGGCTATTGTATTTTTATGCACAATTCAAAATGAGATAACTGATGACAAATCTTCTTAAGAGCTAAGTTAAATCTAAGTAAAACTTACAGATGTCCAACTACTGAGACGGTTAAAATTTATAAACCTGTAAAGATCAAAGAATAGGGTCAATAATTTATGAAGTCTTCAAAGTAAATTAAGTGATTTCGATATTTAAGCTGAGAACTCTGAAGAAGTTCAAACAAGTTTACCGGACGAAACCTTGGAATTATGTAAATTTTGATCGCTGACAATAATTCAAATATAATTTCCACATATAATCTAAGTGGTTATTTAGCACATATAATGAATTTTTTTCTAACTGATTGTCAATTGTCATAGTTCATGTAAACTTTACCGAAACAACGTAAAAATTATTATGATAGAATTTGGTCAAATCAAAATAGGTAATCAAAAATTTGATTAGTGAAATTAGTGAAATGTCATAAAATCAAATAAAATTTAATGTAGACTCTGATAATTAAATTTTCTAAGCTTAGACTAACTACTTTATTCTTATCATCAATACATGGATTAGGTCCAAGTTATTTGATGGAGTTTAATGTATTTTGAGATTATACACTTATTATTATTGCCTCCAATTGTTAATTAGAAAATAAACATTGTTAATATCAGTGTCTTATACCAACATATTGTCAAACAATCAATAGCGAAGGTGCATCCACTCTTTGCTTTCTCACAAATTATAATCTTCTGAATTCTTCATGTCTCTATCTTTCTTCACTTTACAAATCTATTTCACTGTATTATACTCCTTCAATAATATATTCAAACGCTAATCTTTCGGATTACTGCTTATACTCTTACTACTTCTACCACTATGGGATTTGAATCGAAAACTGCATCTCTGTGTTAATGTGGTATGACAACTCGAACTGATGTACGTACGTACGAAGTTCTATGTTGTGACTGACTGACTGGTCGTCAAACAATGCTAAATTAGCAAAAAAGTTATCATATAAATATATATATATATATATATATAGTTTTAAGTATTATTCTTACATTTATGCATTACGTAAGTTATCAACTACTTATCATGCTTACTATAATAATACCACTTGAATATTTTACAAAAAAATTCGATTTTTGTATAAAATAATCAAGTAATTAGTAAATTCCAAATTAAACAATTTCTGTGGTTAATAAGTTTGGCTCATTTCTTTAAAGTGACTTATAACATTACGTAGTCTAATTGACGTAAAAAGAAAGATTTATAGAAAACAAACTACCTACCGAAACATTTTCTTAATCTATTAGTGACTTTTCACAGGAATATCACGTGATTTTACCAGAGGTTAAGCGTTCATGCGCGAGACCTAAGTTCCTAGAGTTCGAATTCCGAATGCGAGATCATGGATGTACACTGCTGAGAAGTTCTATACTAGGACGAAACGACTGTTCAGTACTTCAAGGTTTTTAATGATCGTCTAGCTTCAATTGACTCATGATCTCAATTTTACATGTATTGTTCTAAATAAATAATTGTTTACTAATTATTTTTATTTAAACAGTAAGCTTTGTAATCCATATAAAACGTATCCAGTATCAATTTTATTAAAATATAATCCAACTAATGAATGGATTTCAGAAGGTTGGGAACAAATTTCACAAAACTATTCACCAGATTATGATAATAAATGCACCTATAATCAATATTCAACAATAATTTCTAAAAATATTATGAAAGAATTTTATAAAAATTATAGTTTATCACCAATTGTCTTTATAAGAGAGAAAAGTTTATCAAATAGTGAAACAATTGTTAAAGATTATTTTAAACGTAATGAATCTGCTTATTTAACGGGTTACGATAGTCCTGGTGGATATTTACAATTAGAAGGAAATGCTTTTTGTCGTGATCTAAACAAAATACAAGACAAAATACCATTCAATCAAGATGAATTGAATTTAGCCAGTACATTACGAATAATATTTCGAGTAAGTTTATCCAAATGCAAAGTTGTTTACTCGTTATGTTTATTTATTTATCTTCCAACTAATGTATTTGAATATGTGTATGTTATTATTTACACTTCATAGGTCTTCAAATAAACAGAAACTATGGGGAGATTGAACTCATAAGTGAGAAATTTGTAACTAAGTATTTACACGAAAAATCTGTGTGACAATGTGAAATTATGTATGAAAAAAAAATTATTAAAATAAAAGCTTTGCTGTATGGTCAATCATCATTTGTCTTCATCATGAAATCAGGTTATATTTTACACGTTTAACAAAGGTACATTTACGATTTTGTTTAACATAATGAAGTATTGAAAAGTATCATAAGGAAGAAAAAGAAAAACAATTCTTGATAATATTGTAGTGAACAGAACACGGGTGGGGACAGTCATTTGTACTTTAGCACGAAATTACAGAATATCTTAGTAAAATATGAGAACCATATATTAAATAGTTAATTTACAAACTACTTAATATTGACCATTCCTTCTGTAAATATCAGTTCATCACCTACGATTATTATTGTTCATGCATTTTCATACCAATTGCGTTACGTTCTTCCTTATCGATCTTCTATTGAAATACATTCAATCCCTGACCATCGTAATATACTACTTATGTGGATATAAGTAACCTACACCACAATATGTCTAATATTTAGTTGATTTTGATTATACTGAAAAATGACTCTAATTACATAAGTTAATTAGTAAATTATAATGATAGAATTTGACTACTATAGAATAAAATTCAATGTACTTAATGGTTAGACGTTGTGACATGATTACCTTATTTATCACCATTTTTCTGTTTACAGGAAACCAATAAGATTATACGTTCAACCTTGTATGATTAACATCAGTATATAGGCGGTTTAGAAGCCTAATGATTTATCATACATATATCTGCATATGATTCATGGTTAACACTGAGAATTCGCACAAGTAAACCAAGTTGTATGTTTATTAGCCGCATCATTTCAAAATCAAAATTATTTCAGTAGTAAAAACACTCAATAACTCAGGTTTCAAAAAATTCACCTTCAGTTCTTATCTAATAAACTTTGTGATTGTAACACTAATCCATTACACATTGCAAAGTATGAGACTGACAGCTTTCCACTTTGTGAAACTCCATTTATAACCTTTAGGAATAATATGCATGCAACAAATATTAATAGATCTTAGTGTTGACTTAAATCTCCATCGAAGTTTACGTAGTATAATACTCACAAAAGATAACATGTTATAAATTAATAATTCATATTACTCCACTTATAAGTCACTATCTAGATCATCGGACAGAAATATTTTTCTAACTATTTCTAGGTGTGAATTCTGACTAATTCGAGCATATCACCTCTGTTTCTTACTACATAGCATATGATGATGTTTAATAAAAATATCCTTAACTCAAATATATCGGACACTAAATATAGAAATTACATAGAATTTGTTAGGGGCATTAAAAAGTCTGTGTAAGAATTTAACCTAAAGCCCATTAAGAACCCAATACAATAAGAAGTTCATCTGTCATAAAGTATTGTATACTTCTTAATATGTAACCCATTTCATAGTTTACGTTAATTTTTATATCTATCTAGGACACATATCTGATTGATCAAACCGAACGTTTAAAAATTGGTATTAAATGGATTGCCAAAATGACTGAACCATATCCATTAGCTGATCAAATTGACGAGTATCCTGTTGCTGATCCACGTGAAAATACTGAACTACTTCAGGTAAAACGTTTTAACACATTTCTATGTATTTTTCATAAAATTTATGCATATATATATATATATATATATATATATATATATAACGGTAGCAATTATAATTCAATAAATGAAATATTTGGGCAATATGTTGAAAAATATTAAGTTTTACCTGTATAATTAGTTGTCTGATTCATCTCGGAAATGCCATAAATCAAACAACTAGTTATTTAGATCGAAAGTTCACCAAAATTAACCGACTGATGTTTAGCTCACTAATAATTTTTAATTTGCTAGTTTTCGTTTATAATTTTTATATTCTGAACTGAAAATAGCTACACAACGATTAAAAAACACAAGACATTGAACTTTGATTTTGTTCAATTATGATACTCTTCAACAGTAGACACTCATGACTAGACATGAGATCGAGCTCAGGAACTTCAGGCTTTACATATTTATTATGAAGGCTGTCAATAATATTAAAGTATCTCATTGTATTAGAAAACCAAAGTATATCAAGATTAAAAATCAATTGTAGTTTATTTACTGTAGATAAACAAAACACATATAAGGATATAACGTTCGATTATATAAATACCCTTATATTTAAAGTTCAATAATTAAAGAAAAATAAAGATCAATCATTTATAAATTGCTTGACTAATGATCCTATATCACTATCTTGTTGAATATAGGTAATATGGGCAAAAATATTTACTTCTAAAATGAAAGAAACTATTTTATTCGTGCTAGATAGTTAAAAACAAACCATTAGATGCCTTAGAACTAGGTTTTGTATCAGTTGGAATTCGTTAGCATGGTGCTACTTCATTTCCAGGGTAACAGGTGGTTCTTGTGAGATACAAATTCATATTATCAAATCTGACAGTTATTACAAATACTAAGCATTAGCATTTGTTAAATAATGTGCACACTTTCAACACTTAATTGAAAGTTCCTATTTTTAATTAAAAGTTACTATATACAGATTACCGTTATAGTGAAGAAACTGGACAATGAAATTGTCGGGTTTGTAGATGACATTTTATCTCGAACTATATTTTTTAAAAGACTAAGCTACGAAGCCCTATGGCTATAATGGTTACAATTTAAATAAGCTAATATTTGCTGATTATTAGTTTGAACATTTATTGCTACCAACAGAACAACTCTGAGTTATTACATTGCTAATCTCTGTTTTATTACATATTTATATTCGCCTTTTAGAATATTTTTAAAAGCAAAATTAAATCATTCTAATATTAAGTAATCCTCAGCTTTTTTACAAACTTATTTGTTGAATTACACAGGGCTTCATCTTTACTTTTAACAACCAATATACACAACACAATACTTAGGTATAGTTTGGTGGATTTACACAAATCAATTTGTTACTTAAATATAGTTTCCACTTCTGAATTCAGTCAACTGTGAAGTCATCGGAAGCTAAATTGACATTTAAACCCATAGTTTAGGTGGTTAAGGTGTTGCCGGACATAAACGTTGTGAATTACATATTATGTTTGAGGTGGTGAGTATGGACTACTGAGGAGTCACAAACTAGGACTAGAAATATATTCAATTTATCATGAATTTTGATGACCCTACAGTTGGTGTCGATCAGTAGTTTTTAAAAATATACGTAACTCAACACTTCGTTATTATTAGGTCGATTCTCGACAATCATACCAATATCTTTTAATTATTGCGAAGAAAGGTCAAAGCCATGAGTAATTAATAAAGGCTTTCTACATCAGCAGATATGTATGAGATAAAAGTTGCCGTGACTATAAGGCCTATTATTTAATTTTATAACATCCGTTGCTATTATAAAATCTATTTATGGAAAAAAACAAAATTAATCACTTTATAAATCAAAATACAATGTACACGGCTAGTATTAAAATCCAGGGTATACGTTTCGTTGTATGTAGGGCTCGTCACTTGAGGGTATCTGGAACCTAATATTGATGTATACATCAAAACGGAAGCATAGCAATTTTTCCCAACTTGTTATCCACTGAGTTCTGATAGCCACTAATTTGTTTGATGCATATGATAATAGTAATAGTTTGAGTCATCTCGTTGTTACAAAATGAGTCATATAGAGGTATACCACACAATATTAGTATATACTAATGAAAACTCATCAAAATTCAGTTCCTTCTATCAACAATAGGATAAATCAAACACTGACAACTAATTATATCAAAATACAGTGTCATTCTATAACAATTGTTTCAAATAATTCAATATTACGATATATATCTATATAGTTCATAAATTCAAATTCTTTTTTAATTTGTAATATCAGATATCTTTTGATAATCCTTGTGCGATTCGACAATGTTGCCCAACCATAAGAGTTAGCTATAATGTGAAAGTAACCAGGTAGGTGAAATATCTGTATTTATTTTTTCAAATTGTTTATATTTACAATCATATTTCTTCACTCTTATCTTTTCGAAATAAACATAAGCCAATTGAAACTTGGTATTTATTTTATTAAGGAAGCATCACTGAATGAAATTTTTATTATTATATTTTGGACGAGTTATTTTTTTCCTCATCTTCTCCTTGTAATCCACCTTCATTCAAGGAAAAACTGATACCCTCTAAAAGAAAAAATTTAATGAAACTATTCTGCCTTTATTGTGAGTCGAATGAAAAGAAATCGAGATAACGAAATAATTTACTACCTGAGTAGTTGTCATTTCAGTCAACATCGACCTATAAACTCAATGTCCTTCTCAATCGACTTAAGGCCTGTTAACATTATTTATAATTTAGTACTTCACTTAGGTTTATTTCCTTTATTACCAATCCTCTTGAGTCGTCAAACCTGTGGAAATTTTCATTTCGTTCTTGATTGGGATAATTAATTTACTTTTAACTAAATTAATATCTTCAATTTGTGGTTGTGAGGATTGATGAATTTCATTGAAACCATGAGCCGATTAATGTTAGACCATCGTTGAAAACCTGGAAGCACTAGATGGCTGTTCCGCCCAAGTATGGAACTCCTCAACAGTGATCATCCACGACCCCGCACACTGGATTCGAACCCGGAACCTTTGGTCTCGCGCTCTAAACTTTATCCTCTAGACCACTGAGCTGGCATCCAACGGTATCAATGTCTAACGTCAACCTAGTCGTAGATAATTTCAATGAAAATCAATATTTATAAATGGTAACATTTTTAAGAATTATTTTATTCATATGCTGATGATAACTTTTTTGTCTCAGATACATATCAATCAGCTTTTACGTTTTAAAAACTGGCAAGTAACCAATTCAACTTATTCTAGAACTATTCAACAATAGATGTCTCCATGAATATCTATTTAATGGAACATGATAATTGTAATCTATCCAATGACTATACTTATTCTGGTTTAATTTGAATTGAAACAACTTAGTAAACTCATTTTTAATGGAATAACCAGTTTCAAGACGAAATATGTTAATTAATATCAATATTTGATTTTTGAGAGGAAAAAAAGAACTAAATTTCTAGTTCTCGTTTAGAATGAAACTTAAACTACATTAAATAAACGAAAAGTGGCTTGGTAATAGAAAGAATAAATGTATTGAATTGATAGAGAAATAGATCATTATTTGAGAGTAGCCTTTTTACTCCCATCCTTCATTGATTCAATGTTTAACAGATAGATTAATTTGAACCAATAGTATAGTGGATAAGATATCAGATTGTTCTATGATTAGATATTCGGTTATCATCACGAATTATGCAATTTTCTGATCAAAAATACACAATCTAGTATATAGGAGAAAGAGTGGAACTAATATGTATCACATGATTGACTGTTCTATCTAACTGAATAAGTCTTATGATTACATCAATGAAATCTTTTCATTAAACTATTCAAAATATTTTTAGGTGCCTATCAAGCCTACTCGTACTTTTATTCACTCAAAACAGAGCCTTCCATTTGCGAATATATATGTACACCGAATCATATGAGATGTCACTAGTTGTCATTGGCGTTATTAGTGAAACTAATATACTCTGATACAACATATCAATACCTTATTGGTTAGCTTTCCAACTGGAATGTTATAACATTATAAAATATAATTCTAGTTTTCATAACGTAGTCGTAACATCGCTCAAAATCAAGAACTCTTCAACAATAAGAACTGGATGAATGCAGTCAACACAAGGCTCTGGATATAGATTTCCCACTAGTTAGCACCTGCTTACATGGTGTGCCTGCAATCTCGTTGGAACCGATGTTCCATGTAAGATTCGAGATTGCTTCTTCCAATATTGAATGATATAAACCACCTAATAATGGATTAAGTGTTTCACTATGTTAAATATCTGTTAACTACAATGCATCTTGATCAATAGGATTTATCCAACACTAAAGACTAAACAATACAATATTTTTTAATAACAGGTGTCAAACCTTATTGATGTGACATCTAAATATTCACTCATTCTTATAGTGATATATCTAGTTGAATGAAAAGTTTGAATATTATCGCTGTGTTGTAATTACTATCGGTCACTTGAACGTTGAAAGCGAATTGACACAATCAGCGCTTAATTACACAAACAAATTATACATAAATAGTTTTAAGTCAGAAACTTCCAGAAATCCCATGTATTCTAGAAGGTAATCATTTATGGGCGCTGGATACTCTTTTGATTATGTTGTATAAGAGGCCCTAGTAAAATACTGCAGCTGAATAGACCTGAATAAATCATAGTAATATTGTGGACAAGCCTTTACAAACATGTTAATAATTGTTTATTGCTAATTGATGAATAATCTTCATCTTATGTACGTGTTTACATAGAAAAATGTGAATAGTGTCTACTTTTAAGAATCAGCTCGATATAACCTATTTGAGCTAATGTTTACGAAAACCAATGTAGTTGGGTTCTGCCAACAAGTAGTTGGGTTCTGCCAACAAGTAGTTGGGTTAAATCCAGTCCATAAACCAATGAGACCTTACTTTCAGTACTGAAATTAATAGGTTTAGTAAACAAATATGGAATAGACCATAGATGTTTTGTTCTAAACCAATCAACACTTCTCCCAGCAAATACTTCAAAGAACATCTGGAACTAAGGCATTTTAATCAGATTATAAACTTTACACGATCTAACAATCCATGTATAAGCAAAACTGTCATTTATTATTCTCAATTAATTCTTAGTAATAACCTCTTTTCTTTTTTAACTTTATCATACTATTCTAGAGATAAAAATGGACCTGTTGTTTATGTGGGTGATGATAATAATCAAACAATTGAATTATCCGTTCGTGTAACAAATATTGGCAATGATTTAGTTTATGCTACTGCACTAGTTAGTAATTTTCTACCAAATTTATTGGAACTTGATTCAACTGTAAGTTGTATTGTTGATTTGGCTAAAACAATTAAAAGTGTTGTAACATTTATTAACCATTGAAAGATCAGTAATAATATATTGATTAGTTTTTAATAACTTTGAGTTTCAATTAGAGCATAGTAATCTGACCCTAAACCTTATCCTTCCTAAATTTATGACTTCTGTGTAATCTTCAAGACATTTACACTTACAACTGACACGAATTTGTCCAAAATCTTACAAAAAAACATTTTTAATCGTAAGATATATCTCAGTTGTTTTCCTTTTTATTCCCTATACTTATTTAACACTTACCATATAGTTATATTTGTTTGATTCAAAGTAACTTGAATGAACTTAAGGGTTAATTACAATATCGATTGTGTTTCACAGTAGTCTCTATATACAAAAAAATGTAATGTTTTATTAACTGAAAAAAATAGTAGATAGATAATAAAAATGTTACCAAAAAAATATTAGAAATGTTTTTGTATCAAAAATAAAAAAAAGAATTTTATGATTAATCCATTAGTAACTTCATTGATATCGGATTAGATGAATGAATGAGAGAACTTTACTCGAAACTGGAAAATTCTCAATAAAATGTAAGTGATAATACCACTCAAAATTTCTAATATTTTTTAATAGTTGAGATCATAAGTCAATTAAATCTAGAGCACCATGGAAAACCTGCAAACACCACACGGCGTTTCGTCCTACTGTGGGACTCCACAGCAGTGCGCATCCACGATCCCGCCTCACGTGACTCGAACCCAGGACCTATCAGTTTCGCGCGCTGACCACTGAGCCGGCATCCAATGGTGTTCATGTCTAACTATAACCGATCCACGAAATTGAGCGACACATCCACCAATGTCTTCAGTGAGTTATTATCTCACAACAGACTTAATTGAACTCCACTGGTCATATTTTCTTTCATTCATATTTTCTGATTAACTTGAATAGTAGAATATATGTTCAATTTAAAAGGGTTAGAATCACTAAAAAAAAAATCTGTATTGAATAATTATTTGTCGCTTGCTAAGAATTTTTTCTGATAGCATATAGAGTACTAAACTTAGTACATAAATTAAGCTAGACATTTCAACTCCTATGAAAAGATAACCTATCAGTCGATTAAAAAAGAAAAAAGATAATAAATTTAATACTTTATTTATTTGTAACACGACAGTTTTGGTTAGAGAAGTGTTTCTATTTACTTTTCAAACATATTTTGTCGTAGACTACATAATCGTTCATTGAAAATATGGATATATTTGATTAAAGAAATACTTTTATATCTTTCTATTTAACCTAAAAAATCTTTAAAATCTCATAAATTAAACTGCAAACAACCAAAATATTTGCATAAAGGATTTCTGGAAACTGTAGAATTTTTACAGTTCAAATTACAAACTGATATTAGCTGGACTACCATTAAAAACCCAAAAGCATTGAACAGCTGTTTCGTCATAGTGTTGGATGCGGGACAAATCAACCGCAAACAATGGATATGACCTGCACAATATCATTTATTTAAGTTATACCCCAACACTGTTGAATGCCGACCCAGCAGTCTTAAGGATAGGCTTCGGAGCACGCGCTTAGGAGCCTAAGTTTCTGAAGTCATGGATGCGCACTGCTGAGAAGCCTCATACGAGAACAAAATGGACATCCGGTGATTCCAGGTTTTCAATGATGATTTAGTTTACATCAGCTCATGGTGTAAACCATGCGAATCAAAAGATTTATCTTTGTGCAGCATCTATTATTTGTGGTGAATATAACAACAACGTCCATGACTGTATAACTGTGTGTGAAATTTTTTGTATTCTCATATACAAAACTATTGAACAACTGAACATCAGCCATGTACACACAAATCTTATGAAGCACAAAGCTTACTTACTATCATATTGAATCACTTTGTATTGTTTACGTAGTTCCACTGATTTGTAAAGAGAGTAAAAATGAAATGAATTAGTTGAATTATTTCCAGACGTTCTTTATGTCATATTCATATAAGCTTATAATTAGTTTCCTTCTATTAAATGTATTATGAAATCGTTATATAAATAACTTGAATAGTAGAGTTTAGATTTAAAGCATAGTTCATTATAAAAGACAAAGAAATTATACATCAATAAATAGTTATCAAGAAATGTACCATTTGTACTGATGCACTATTTCACTAGGGTTTTGTATATGATATTCGAAATCCAGACTACTTTAATATAAGTACTGCCTATTGACCCCTCTGTAGATTGAAAAAATGCCACATTCGATAACTCAATTGCGGGATATAGCTTTTGGAGATATTATTTTGAAAAAGTAAATGATTTATATGGGTTGAGTCTTTTAACGGTAACGAGCGTTTTTTGTGAGAAACGTTATACTTGAAGGAATTATACGGTTAAGGTATAAAATGATATATCATGTACATATTAATTCTTCATTTTAGATTGTCGAAAATTCTGCATACACTTTGATAAGAGAGTTGGTGACCATAAGAAATTAATTCATGCTTTTGATTTAAAAATTCCAATTATTTAAATAGTATAACACAGCCTAGAAATATATCGATTTAACTGTTGATAATGATAGAATGTTCACAGAGCCTTTTTTGTGCATGATCTGTGTTATAATCTGCTCCTTGTTACGCAGTTAGGAAATATCATCACAAGGGAGACTGCAATGAGTAAACGAGAAGCAATCACTCTTCATTATGCCCCTTAAAACAGTTAACTCAGCCTCAAAACCGTGAAAGTAACAAGGGAAGAATAATCTAATCTGAAACTGGGAAAATGCCATCTTTTATAAACGGGTTTCTTTATCAGTGGATAATGATGACATCTAAATTATTGCAGTGAAAAACGAATTTTATTTTAAATAAAAATCAAAACTGAGTGAATAACCATCAGAATACAATAGAACAACATACTGAAATAATTCATAACTAAACAAGTGAAATTCCAAATAAATGTTAAACTCAGTAATGATCATATTGTTTTAATCAGTAATCTTAGTTTTGATCACTTCCTAGTAGCCTATATATCAATTGATATAATATCGAGTTTTCCCAACTCTCTCATGGAATCGTACATAGTTTTTTTTTCGTATCTACCGGTCTGATTTAAATACTAATTCTGTTTCCAGTCTTTCACATTTCTACCATGTGACACAATACATCGATTATTTAAACTTATACAACATATCACCGTAGTAATCTACATGAAATTAGTTTTTGTCTCTTATTCTGCTTTTATTATTATCATTATCATTAGCTTTATTCAATATTATATTTTTGGTATAATATAGAATTCTCAGCACAAAAGTATTTAAACAAGTTTCCGTTCCTTATTTCTTGATCGATCCTGATGACAAATATTGAGTGATCGTTAGTTAGAAGTTATCAGTTCAGTTAATCGACATCTAAATAATGTACATTCTTTTGGCTGCATATTGCCAGTAACCACGATATCTCTGATTGAACCTTTTGTAACTTGTACAACGAAAGGTTGTACATTTTTTCAGAAACGCACCTGATTAGACTATGCGATTAACAGCCATAATGATGTATTAAAACAAACAAAATTAGATGACTTGTTGAAATGTCTAGATAACAGGAACAGGTAGCCCAGATGTTCAAGCAGGCCATCTATTCAGACTATCATTTTTTTATTTGTATTGTTTGTTTGAATCTCCTCATTGATGACGAGAACTATAATTGATTAGTCTCTTAATTTCCATTCTTTTTCTATAGACATTTTCCCTTTTTTTATTAACCAACGTTTAAACAGGATATATTATAGATAAAAATGAGTCATATTTAGCTGTCACCTTATTTCATTTGATGAATCCAAGAGACAATAACAACAACAACTAGATTGTAGGGTATGTGAGAAACGACAAAAATCATAAAAATTGGATTTTTATCCACGTCTAGTTCTGATTAATTCTCTCCTGGTTTATCTTTTAATTATTGTCTACACATACTTGAAAACACTGTTTAGTTTAAATTTTTCTATTTCTGTGTTTATTTTTTGTTTAAATCGGTTCTTTTTTTATTAGAATTACTGTTTAACCAATGATTTGTTTTGTTTTGTTTTGTTAATTTAGCTAAAAGAAGCTAGTTTAATTCAACCGGACACAGCAATATGTCATCTTCAATATCCATTAGCTTCTGGTGAATCAAGTGAATGTATGATACGATGGTTGGTAATCGGGCATCAATTAACTGTACAAATGGCTAAATTTCATGTAAATAGTACTGTACTAATGTAAGTTATTTGCTTGTTTTTTTTTTAAGATCCTATTATATTAGATCAGTCGTTTTGTTATTTTTTTCTAGTTGTTATCATTTGTTTACTATGAATATGCACACATGGATATGGTGTCTTATTTTTCTAATCCCTATAGTAAATACTATGACTTTTAACTTATTTACTAGTTCACTAGTCTCCCACTGATAACACATATAGTTCATATGTTCTGCTTTTCTGATGTAAATGTTTCATATTACTGGTTTAGACTAGATACGAAGATAATTTTCACTAGATGAAGAATATTTTGTGAAACCAAGAATCGCCTAACAGCTGGTATTATTTAGTAGACATTGGTGACTTGCTTCAAGGTGAATGAGATGTGTTTGATCAATCAAGTCAAATATTGATATAGATTTCGATTGATGATGATGATGAGTGATAGTCCCAGTAAATCATTAATTTATTGAATATGTAAAATATAAATAATTCCGATTTTAGCTGGTTAATATAATGCTCACTATGATATCGTATGATATCGTACATTCCACACTTTTTGATACTTTTGAAATACATTGAATGTTTAGACTTTTTAGGTTTTTATTCCCACTTTAACCTCACACATCAGATAAGGATCTAAGTGTATAAATTTCAACTTTGTGGGGAATAAATGCTAGCGAATCACTAAAAAGTATTCAAATGAATAGTAAAAACCGCTTGCTTCACTTAATTTTATCATATTTCTTTATACAATTTCATCTCTAAATAATCAATTCTACTCACATAGACCTAATTATTCCGATTATCATACTTCAGTATATTACATTGGTTTAGGTTTCATGCTTTAAGGCGATAATAAATTATTTCAATTCTAAGTGAATCCAATCAAAGCTATATGTATGAGTTCGTCATCTGCTTTCGTCATAAGTAGAATCCATAAACGGCTTTCGTCATAAATTCACATCGGTTAAAGCAACACTGAAAACCGTAAAGCAATTTACTTTTATTTTTTCACTGCATAGAAATCCTCTATGGTGCACAAGGATCTTCAGATATAAAACACGAACTCCAAAGGACCGCGTTACCTTTAGATCATTAAGTTGCATCCTAATGGTCCAGATTAGTTCAACATTTATGTTGCGTGTTCGCTAGTCGGGATTACCAAATCTGTTGTAGTAGCTTCAATCTGATTCCTTTTTTATCGTACGTACTGTCTATCCTCGTATGTAATAAATGACTTGATCCGCGTTGGTTAATAGCGGAGTTAAATAAGTCAAATACGAGAATGGATTTAAAATAGATATATTTTCTATACTCATTGATCTGACCAGAGAATCAGAGTGATGAGGCGAACAAAAGCAAACGAAGCGAAAGTGATGTGCATTGGAGATGGCTGGGAAGCCACCTCGCTATGAGCAAGAATTACTCAATATTTATAATCTGACAAAAATGAATGACAGACATATGATGAATAAGATACGAAGTGTGTATACACATATACGCTCATGTAAAAATATAGTCAAGGTTAATAAGCGAATAAATAACACGATCAAAATATGACTCATAATGTATAGGTGAATTAGCTTGGCCAGAAGCCAGAATAAAGTATATGGGCTTAACATATAAACTGATACTACACATTATTGATGTGCAATTGTTTAACAGGACGACTAAATTCAAAATTAGAGGGTTAAAAGTAATACATTCACCATGACAACTGGCAGTTCTGAGACCAACCCCTGTAATAGTCAGCGCTATGTACAGTTTGGTAACCAAATAGTTTAGTGAACAGATGTTTAGTACCTCTTGGCTTTCAATGGTATTAAATTAACAAAAATCGTTCTCAAACTATAAATAGAAGCAATACATAGAATAATTAGTTATATTTTAAGTTTGTTATATGTACTCTTTTCACTTTCCAACTTTTAGAAGTTCGAATAATCCCATACAAGTTGAAGGACAATTAACTAATGAACTACAAGTAAATATTAAAATGATTGTCAATGTTTCAGTATTTGGGTAAGTTGTGATTAATGTCTATATTGTTACCGATAACAAGATTTTTAACGTACTAATAAAAATAACAAATTTCTGGTTTTCTTTTATTTTCATTATTTCTCTTGTAAATGTTTCATCAGTAGGACTAAGTAGCTTCATTATGAATATAATGAACGTTTACAATGAGGTATCTATAAGAACACTCAAATGTAAATAATTATTTAATTTTCTAATCGAAATCATATAAATTGACAGTTATGAGTAATTAGTTTTGTCTTATAACTCAGATATCAGAGACTCTAGTTTGAGACAATCACTTCAACTCTTTAAAATTCAATCTTCACTCTTATTGAGATTTTAATGATTACGATTGACTGTGACTTAACTGTTCATTATTCACGTTCTACTATTGTGGTGTGGGTTACTTATATTCACATAAGTAGTATATGGTGATGGTAAGGCATAGAATGTATTTTGGTAAAAGATCGATAAGGAAAGAACTGAAACGAATCGCAATTGGTATGAAAATGTATGAACAATGAAATCTGAGACGATAGACTGATATTTGCAGAAGGAATGGTCAATATTGAGACAATTGTCTGATAGTTTGAAAATTAACTGTTTACTGTATGGTTGTCAGGTTTTAGTGAGATATTCTGTAATTTTGCGCTCAAATACATTTCGATTGTCCTCACCCATGCTCTGTTCACTACACTATGTTATTCAAACAAGTTCACAAATCAACTTCAAAGATCTCTATAGGTCTCCTTTAACAAATCACAAAATGTTGAATTTTCCTCTTTTTTTCTAATGTTATTCTATTATCGTCTACTGTGGAATCATTGAAAACTTGAAAAACTATGATTAGTGTTTTTTATCTTAATTTGTAATGCAGTACATATTTCTGATACCAAAACGATATCGAATCTGAATTTAATAAGACTTGTAACAGATATATGTAAAAGTAAAGATGTCTATCATATTAATACGTCTTAATCCTAAAAATAGTGCCTTATACTTTATCCTAGTTCTTCATGAAGACCATAAATTAATCCATCACGTAATACTGATTATCAAAATAAAACATTTTCTGTTTCACAATTGGGTGGTCACTGACTAGGGATCATTGTAATACTTGTCAAGTCATTCAGTGCTTACTGAATTCTTCTAATAAAGTTGTAATGTGGTTTGTGTTTGTGAAGCTAGGAAAGCATTATACCCTCAGGATTACAGATACATCTTAATGACCTATATAATCAACTAGCACAAAACCTACGTCCGACGTTTTCTGCCGACTCACTCCATACCGACTGACTTTTTTTCTGCTTGAAGTTAGAGATTAAATTGTTTTTACTATCAATTTCGTCTCTAAATAATAATTTCAGCCTTAATTTTTTTTATAAAAATGATTTCTACTACTATTATCATAGTGACTTTTTTAATCTGTCAAACTGATACTAACCAATATCCATTACAACTGAAAACGCTTTAAATACATAAATACATAACGGCCGTCCAGTGCTTCCAGGTTTTCCAAGGTAGCCTAGCTTCAATTGACTCGTGATTTCGACTATACATAATAGTTTAATTGCTTCATTTTTAGATAATTAAATAAAACAACAATGAATAAACACTTTATTATTTAAAACTAAGAAGTATGTACAAGTAAATGTGACTAAATTCACCTAGTATTGTTTGTTTGAATCTTCCCATTGATGTTTACGACTGCAACTGGTCAGTCTCTAATTAGCATATGTGCATACTGTGTGCGTTGCCTCAATATAACCTTAATTAACAAGCATTGTAAGCAAAGATGGATAGTGGTTAGCAGTGGAATCCAGGACGTGCGTTTCGTTTTATTTGGGACTCATCAGCTGCATGTATCTGCATCTCAGAGTTGATGTTCACTCTGGGACTTGAACCCAGTACCTTTCGCTTCAAACGCCATCACGTTATCCACTCGGCCACTGAGTACTGATAGACTGACCAGTTGCAGTCCTAAGCATCAATGGGAAGATTCAAACAAACAGTACTAAATGAGTTTAAACTTCACCCCATTACACAAGCAAGTGGCTTGAAGCGAATGTTACTGGGTTCGAGTCCCAGAGTGAATATCAACTCTGAGATGCAGGTACATTCAGCTTACGAGTCTCAAATAGGACGAGACGCGCATCCTGTTTTCCACCACCATCCACTATCCATCTTTGCTTAAATGTGACTAAGTTTTATTTTTTTCTAATTTATAGTTTTATTCTCTATCGTAAATCATTGTCTAATTAAGTTCTCCATTCATCTCCAAAAAACTCTATCATTAGATTGTAACAATATTTTTTTCAGTTTTCCTTTTTTTGTAGAAATTCTATATTATTTACGAATCAGGGTTTTATGTGGTAGAAAAAGTTGTCAAATGTTACATTTGACTGAACTGTTCAGTACTTTTTTTGTTGTTTTTGTTTGAATTTATTAAAAAAGAAAAAAATATGATTTACTACTTCTGTAGTAGTATTTTATCCGAAGCTATTGTATAGAAAAAAATAACTGAGCAAATTATTCATCATCATCAAGTTTCAACAAACAGATCAATATTACACAAACATTGAGTAACTAGTTAGGCATATTTAAAAAATGAAATTACCAAATAAGTATTTAGTTTGGTTTTCTAAACTAAATACCAAATATTATAAGTAAAGATGGCTAGCAGTGGAATACAGGACGCGCATTTCGTCCTATTTGGGACTCGTCAGCTGGACGTACCTCCATCTCATAGTTGGTGTTCACTCCAGAACTCGAACACAATACCTTTCTCTTCAAACGCCATCACGTTATCCACTTAGCTTCAGATTTCTGATAGCCGTTTGCTTGTGCAATGGGATGAAGTTTAAATTCACTTGGTATTGTTTGTTTAAATCTTCCCATTGATGTTTAGGACTAAGCTAGCCACTGCTAGCCACTATCCATCTTTGCTTATAATGCTTGTGAATTAAGGCTATATCGAGGCAATACGCACAGTATGCACACATGCCCATAAGAGACAGGCCAGTTGCAATCCTAAACATCAATGGGAAGATTCAAACAAACAATACTAAGTGAATTTAAATACCAAATAAATGGAATAACTGACTAAGAACTATTAAAAAAACCAGTGATTCAATAAATATGTATTAACAGAATTAATGATCTTTAACTTGTATACGAAACACTTAATGTACACAATCATTTTTCCAAATATCACCTGTTTTTAACTATTAGGTCTTAGGTTCAAATCTCCCAACACTTAGTTTGATTGTGGCAGCCAAGTGGTATCAATAGTCATCACACGAACAATGAAGCCTGAACATATTTACGTAAATGTATGCTTCGTAAATAAATTATTAACATTCATCGATATTGTGCTAGATAAATTTCTTATCAGTATGTTGCTAACCACTAATGTCATCCAATAATACATTTTCTCAGTTTACTTTGAAGTATCTATATGAGTAAGATCACAGATGAGAGTAGGTTTTGGGAAATTGCTTTCTGGAATAAAGGTAGATTCGTAAAGAATTGATTGTGAGTGACATATGGTGTACAGTTGACAAATATTTAAAATATTTCTTCATACGTTATTTAACTTCGTCATGACCAACAAAAAGAAATTCACTGATCACACTAGTAAATCTTGGTAACAAACCAGTTAGCTTGCGAAAATCTAATTACTAATAATTCATTCTATTTAACGTGGTCATTCACTTCGACTCCTATACTTAGAAACTTCATGTACACGTGATCTTTCCTATTGCGATGTTATCAAAACAACTACAATAAGTGACCGTGGAGTGTTAGTGTTGTTTTAAAAGAATGATTGGATGATCCTCCACCCAAGCGTTAATTATATTAAAAGATAAGATTTTAATCAGAAATTAGTCCTTTTTGCAATCGTTTGGCATAATCATCTTGATAGTCATTTGATAAGAACCTGGGATTTCATTCACCAGTTTATTGCAGTGATTGACGCTACATTCGATTAGTAGAATTAGTATTATGGAAATGGTTATTATATAATGATGTGTCACCCAGTTATAATCTTAAAAATTTTCAGCTCAGTTCTTGGAAATTCGATTAATTTATTTTCAAAAGACAGAAAGTTATGTACAATTGAATGAATGTTTCATTCATCTCATTTTCAAAATAATATAATACGCACTTTCCGAATTATACATTTGGTCACTATCCAAACATAGTCAATATGTCAATGTCAAACAGCATTATTACATCTGTTTTACAGGTTAATATATTGGCAAGACTGATCGTTCCTATCTAGGTTATCTAGTAATGGGAAGGCTCGAACTATCACAATAAATAAATATCAATATCTCCAGGCATTATTTTAGCATTCTTTCTAGTGGCTTCAAGTAATCATATTTCTGAGGTTATATTTGTTTAATTTTTTCTATAATATTTTCACAAAAATGATAAGCGTTTGTATAATAGCAATACTATATTCTTTCCAGAATATAAAATACAATTATCATATTTTCTTTCCCCTGTTATCTGTCATCCTTCATCCTTAAAATATGACACATAAGATTTTGTATCGAAATTGATAAAAATTAACACAATTGTACTTGTTATCTATAAATGTAAACTATTATGGAGATTTATTAAATAAGTATAAATTTCTATACTATTTTCCCCAGTAAAATTCTATCTGGTTATACATGAGCAAACTGAAATCAATTAACTTCACAAATGGTTTTCATCATGAATGAATATCAGATATTAAAAAGTCTTAAACCAGTACTCTTTACTTTCTAATGATTCTCAGACCGATGTACGTTCGTAATGAAATCATTCAAATTAATAGAATCTACTCAAACAATCTATTTAAATATGATTTTATTCAAAGTTCAAATCTATCCCATTAACCGTGACGGTTTATATATGGCTTTACATGTAATGTCCCAATCTGTTTACTTAAGTAAAAGTTAAAAGAGCTTATATCAACTGATAGTGATATGATTAGATAACTTAAATACAGTTTTGTTGTCTATATGTTTGCATAAAAGCATAGTATAATGATTAACCTCATGATTTTTAATGCAACATAGAAAAAAACAAATTTTTTGTGTTGGTTTCATTGCAGAATAACTGAACCGAATACAATTTACTTTAGTGGAAATGTTAGTGACGGGATTAGTTCAATGTCAGCAGAAAATCAAATTGGTGATGTTAGAATTGTTGGGAAATTTACTGTAAGTAATAAATTCTTTTTACTTTAAAGTTACCTTTATATAGCATACACTAACATTCAAATTGGCATATTTAATTATAATCGCTGTTATTATTATTTGTGTAAAAATCTCTGAAATCTGTACCACATCTCCTGTCTGCCTCATTTGATGGTGGTTTACCATCTTATCAAACACTTTATCATCTCTGTTCATATTATTGAACCTCAACATTACTCACTTGATGGTTTTATTACAGACAAGCAAAGTTTTAAAAATTAGTCACATACTCATGACTTCTACCTTCATAGTTTATGTTTTACAAATATAAAGTGACATAGGAAGAAATCTTGGATACATTAAATCCCAACAGTGTTACAGACTAAATTCATAACCTTCAATTTTCTTTATAAATATTGTTCTTTTATGAAAAGAAAGTTAATCCTCACCTTATTGATTAACTGATAAGATAGAAAAAATGTAATAGACAATATACATTGAAACATTAAAAGTATCTTACTTTTTTATCACAAACATATTGAAAAGTAATTTTGTTTGAATATAGTTTAATTTATGTGTCTGTTGTTAATTGTAGGGAAAAAAATTGTATATTTTGATTAAAATTTATTCAAGTCAAATAATAATTAATAAAAGTAGCATAACTAATGCCATGTTCTATATATTCAGTCAGTCAGTCACAACGTAGAACTTTGTACGGATGTACATCAGTTTGAGTTGTCATACTACATTAGCACAGAGATGCAGTTGTCGATTCAAATCCCATAATGGTAGTGTAGTGAACAGAACACGACTGGGGACAATCGAATGTATTTAAGCAAAAATTACAGACTATCTCAGTAAATTCTGATAATCAAACAATGAACAGTCAATTTGCAAATTAACAACCAATTGTTTCAATCTTCATTGTTTCTTCTCTAATTCCATTGCTCATGCATTTTCCAAACGATTGCGCTTCATTTCAGTTCTTTCCTCATCGGTCTTCCGCGAAAATACATTCTATGTCTGACCAACACCATATACTACATATATGGATATAAGTAGACCACACCACAGTAGAAGTAGTAAGAATATAAGCATTATGTGAAATATTAGGGTTTGAAGATGTTATTCAAGGAGTATAATACAGTGAAATAAGTTTGGAAAGAAAAAATGGATAGGGACACGAGGAATTCAGAAGATTAGAATTTGCGAGAACACTAAGAGTGGATGCAATTCGCCTATGAAAACGATTTTGAGTCATGTCATTCAAGGTCTCTAACCATCGATTGCTATCACCTCGTGGATCCCAACCAGATAGTCTACATCTACCAATATGGCTCAGTCCACTTGTCAGTGACTTCATGGATTTATGTCACGTTCTGGTCTGGCCGTCCATAGCTTTCTTTCAATCTACTCCTACACCATAAAACATTGCACATCGGGGCAGTTGGTGGTTGGGCGTACGTAACACATGTCCTAGACATCTCAACTGATGAAGTTTCACTACTTCATCAATCGATTTGCCATCCTTACCTAGTACCCGTTTCCTAACAATTCAAGTTTAAAAACATTTAGTGTAAATTTGTGTTCAATGAACTGTGTGAGTGTGTTGCTTCCAACACCATATAAAATAATCTTAAGAGTTTCAAGTTTTTTATTTCACTCTTGAGTAACAACACAAGGAACTATAAACAGTATAACATCATTGACTTACTAGATCTCAATTTATCTAGACGCTTTTGTGTCACTAAATATAGGAGGAAAAAACAGTGTAGACAAAATTTTGTCTACCATATTTAATCTCTATCGATTGTAATTTGAAATTATATTTATAGGATATGAATGAAAGTTTTTAGTCAACAAAGTTTTTAGAAATTATCATAAAATAAGAAAGATTAGTTTGGCGTAAAGTTCTATTTTTGGCAAATTTATTTTCAAAGCTGTACAATATATACTTAGCTTCCAAAATGATACTGAAAAATAATAATAGTATTTTACTAAACATGTCACTTGTGTCCAAAAGAAACTTGTATAACCTTTTCTACCATGATCTCAATCTCTCGTAGTATTTTCTTTTCATTTCCTCTTTCATAGCCATCTGTTTCCCTTCTCTCTTCTTCCTTATAGAATTTTAACCCTCAATTGACTTGTTCCTGTTTCTATGATCCTCATGATTACAGTTCATCTCAATTTCAACATGTTTTCTTACCACACTGAGTCTTCCTTTTGCAATTATAATTTCGTTATTCATCTTTATGATGAATGTTTAAGATCTCAACAACGAAATGATTATTAGTTCTCATGATAGAAATAACGTCCTTATGTCTTTATTTATTTTACCTCACTGTTACCATATTTAGCAGAAAAATTTTATTATCACTATCATTCTAATTATCATTATTTGAGGAAATAAGTATATAGCTTTGTGATACGTCTCGTCGATTGAACGCTATATTAGTTTCCTAAGCTATTCTGGTAACCCACAGGCTAGAACTACTCAGCAACTTGAACACCAGAGAGAAGACGTAAGTATGAGAGAAACACTTTACTCCAGGGTTCGTTCTTGTACAGAAAGTCATGGGTATTTATAGATGTTAGCGTCTGTTAAATCAACATCATATTTCAGTTAAATCCGTTAACGACATATTATTGCCACCGATCAATAGTAGCACGCCACTTTGGAATTCTAGAATGTTCCGTCATACTCTGATTGGCTAGGGCTCTTCGGCTCCTTTTGGGCTTCTGAAGGCTCCGTTGAAGTTCTCCGGAAGCCGACTCAACACTTTGAAAATGAATTCGCCGAAAAGAGAACTCTTCTCTGATCCAATCTTTCTTAATTTATGTCTCAATGGGTTTATTTGGTTTACTTAAAAATGATCATGTTGAAGTTTTCTCGGAAGTGTTATTTCAATTTCTTAAAATGAGAAAAATTGTTATACTGTTTGAGAAACCCAGTATAGTTCAACTTGAGAAAGCATAAATATTTACATAATTAACTGAGCTATTATCTTCCCAGGTACGTAAGTATAATGCATCTTCGACCTAAATTAACGATTTGTTGATACAATGAACTCTCCAATAGTTAAGACTTACAATATGTATTGAGATATGAGCTCAGCATTATTATGAAAAATATTTAAAAATAAAATTTTAAAATATTAATGTTTACTCTGAACCTTATAGGCTCATCTTTCTTCTCAACAACTTCCATTATAAAACTATCCGACCACTTACCATTATGTTACTAGAATTTAGATCTACACACTATTCATCTCAGATGTAGGAAATTAATATAACGTTATGAATAAAATCGTTTGTTATCGTTTCTGTTCTTTTTTCTCACCTAGACTTCTCCCTATAATGACTAGGGTGCTTAGTCAAGGAAAGAGAAATAACAAGAGTTATTACCAGACTAAAAGTCAAATAATGTATTAATTTGACTATAGACCGTGTATTCATTTTATCTGAAAAGCTTTCATATTATAAATCATTGACAACTTTAGAATAAACCACTGGTTAATATAAAAGACGGTGAACGAGTCTTCCGTCCAACGTCTTATTTTTCAAACCATTGATTTCAAACAAAAGAATCATTTCTATATTAATTTAAGAACTGTTCTCATTTAGAAGGGTTATTTGCTGGAGAATCAGAGAGATGGTATCAAGTAGCTGTTTTAGACTGTATTTCTAAAGCTATTTTTGTATGTAAGTATTATACCGTTTCTTACTGTTCTTGCTGTTGTGTTGCTAAAAAAAGGTACGAAATTTACGTAAACATAGTTTAATACCAGCATCACGTCTGATCATCGATTGGCCTTTTGAATTCTCTGGGCTTATCAATGAACCACATGGAAAATATCTTCTCTACTTACTTGAAAATCCTTATGTAATTCAACATGCGCTCCCAATTCCTGGTCAAACAGGGGACAATGGAACTAGTGTTGTTTGTGATTCTCAGGCATTACAGAAAGTTGTTAATCCACATAATTTCCGAGTGAGTTCTGTTCATTGGTTCCTATCATTTTTGTGTTAATGTGAATAATTGTTGTTTTGTGGTCTAAGGTATGTCCGATTTTGCTACTGATATACAAGCTACTTATACACAATCGTATCCGGGTACTTAAATGAAAAAACAAAGAAGTAGGAACCATTAATTCAAAGCTCTGAATCGAAGATACATGCACAATTCGTTAAAGCCAATAAGCAAACAATATCGTCTTAGATAATAGTATACTGCATTAATAATAATAATTTGTCAAAAAGGACCTGAACTGGAATCAAGAAACTATTTTATTCAGGGTATATCAATCTTATTCTATTCATTCGTAGAAATACACATGTCTTATCTTCATTTGTCCAGTGAAAATTATCTCTGTAAGTCCTCAGTAATCAGATTTTTCATATACCTCGTCGTTTGACAGTTTAAATCTACATTACCTACCTAATTGACCATTTCGAATGTTAAGATCAAAGCTAAATCAGTAGAGGTTAAATCAAATAAGTGATAAGAATAATCTAGCATGGTGGTGATGTCATTAGCCAAGAACTTACGAATATTTACTGCTGGACACTCAGAGGATTTGCCATGGTTCATTAGCCACTTATTGAGATCGTATAAATTTAGTCACATACGATCCCTCAGGAGTTTGATATCCTTCACACCGGAATTATTCACTGTCTGTTCTTCAGAAAGTGATTCATAGTAGGTAACATCATAAATATCGCATTTATTGGACATAAAAGTTGCATAAGATGATCTATTCTAATGTTCTAGTTGTTTTCTTTCGAAGATATTTTCTAGATTAAGAAAATCAAATGATGGTGTACCTGTACGAACTGCGCCAATTAATATCCCTTCAGAGAACCTTTCTCGGTATCCCCCACTATCAGACAAAATGATTTTGGAATCAGTTCCTGATCGTTTAACAGATTCAAAGAAATTAGTTGATCGAAAAATGACTACAATTGTAAGTATTGATCTGTGTGAATATAGTTGTAGATTGCATATTGTTCTTAATAATTACACTATTCATTTACTGAATGATAGCTGATGTTGTATTGTTGAATTGTTAGTTCTAGACTCCTAGTTCCATTACAATCCTCCAGATTAAGTGACTGGACATCACAGAGCATCAAAATATCTTAATCCCACAGGAAGTCAGTCGCATATGGGTAACCACGTTTTCCTGCTGGATGCTTACAACTACTGATCATCTTAAGAAATAAGTTTTGTCTCCATTTTTAAAGCCTGGTCATAATTCACTTACATCAAATAAATATTGATTTGTAATCTCGACCTAGTTCTTAACCTTAGCAACAGTACGTTCATTCACATCCTTCAGATAAATAATTTGCTTGTTCATAACTTATTTTGTCAGCCAGTGATTGGATCATTTTCTGTATTTCATTATTATTTCCTTAGACTTTATTTTTTTAAACATACTATATTTTTAGAGTTGTTATAATGGACGTATACGATGTGTACCAATTGTTTGTGATTTAGGCAAGTTATCCTATAAAGCTGGACCAATTACACTTGAATTTATCGCTAGACTCTGGGAAAATACAATGCGAGAAGTTAGTTTTGAATATTATCACTAGTTTTTTTATAATTTCCTAGAATTGTAGTTTGATTTCAATGACTTTTTACCCTCAAAACTGTTTACTTACTACAATATAACTTATTATCTTATTTAGTAATGATTAGTGATGTATACTATAAACGTTTGTAATAGTGAATCAAGATTGACATTGTCAACTAACAATTCAAAGGTAATGAGTTTGTAGGTATCATTACCAAGTCTTGATTTGATAATTTTGAGTAAATTGAGCATTGGGTAGATTGTTTTAAATAAATTATATATTTGTAATGTCCAAATGAGTAGAAAAATTAGATTTTCTACTTATTGGGATATTACAAATATATAATTTATTTAATTCAAAGGTAAATCTATGCTCTACAAAGTTAAACAATTGTTAACCGTCCAATGGGACTAATCATTTTAACTGGTGGTATCTAATGTTACATTTGTTTAAACAGTAGCTACTTATGTTTATAGGCTTTGATTAATTATCCGTTTCTGTAGATAAAATCGGCCAACCCAACAAACTTTACTGTTTACTACATATGATTTCTAATGATTTATTCTAATAGGAATTAATAAAACTACCGATTTATGAATTCTGATATCGAAATCCATAAAAAATTACATCGTCCTCCAGCGAAACGTACTCGGAAACTCTCACCTCTTGAAGACAGTAACTGAGAACTGCTTGACAAGGGCTATAGACCTGCAGTTTAATGAAAGTATCATGAATCCTACCATTTTTTATATTAACGAAATTCCTTTTTGTGGAATAGCATAGTCCTTAACCTAACTTGGTATTTGTTTGCCAAGGGAGCAAACTGCACATAAAAGTAATCTTGTCAATTTTATTTTAAGTGCCCTAGTATAGCCGAGGGTGGGGAAAGTTCGCTCTCCCTCTCGAAATGCTCTCCTAAGGTCATGCATACACAGTTACTACTAAGGAAGTTCTCACGGCAGGGGTGTTTTTTACGAGATTGAGAGGTGGAAAAACGGATGTCCGATGCCTTTACCAGGTTCGTGGACATGGACGATCCAACTAGGGGAGTTGGAAAACCGAGATTCCAAACCAATGGTGCACATGAGTTCCAGTATCCTGAAGAAACAAATGTAGTATAAACCCAATGTTGGTCAGCGGCTACTATGAGACTGCATCTCAGTCTCAACTGCATAAACTGCCTTGTGGATTGGACCTCTGGGTCAAAGGCTCGGTGTGTGGCCCCTAAGAAAGCCACCTGCTTCGGTTTGGGCACCTGGGCAGTATTTCAGCCCACATACAAACTGAATGACTTGTGTGGCGCATATATATTTTGTGCCTCCTTGTACCAATGTTCATATGTTTGAATAAATTTACTTCTTTTTTATGTTTACCACTTTAATTTTTCTAGTAAAAACTTATAAGTTTATTATCCCTTGACGTTTCTGAAATTTATTATTTTCTTACTGTTATCATCTTGAAAATGGGTATTGATGAGGCATCAACCACCCAAATTCTGCAACAACTTGGGTGGTAGAATCACTTAACTAATAAGAAATGTTGGACACAGTTTGATTTTTTCTTACGATTTAGCTCGTGATAAACTAGTTTCTTAATAATAAAATCTCTCTGTAACATTCTAAGTTTTAAAGAATACAACCGTAAATTTGGAGTCATCGTAAGGCCCTATAAGTGACTCGGATGCATTACAGAATAAATAATTAGGGAGTCACTTGTTTTAATTGTAACAACCAAGACTTCTTTTCCACTCTTTTTATAATAAAATGTTCTAAACAATAATAACATAGATAAACTAACAACAACACCCACCAGAACAATCCAACCATACAGCATTTCAAGTGAAATTATAATCCTGTTAACCAACAGATAAGTTTCTTAACTAAGTCAATATGTTAAGAAATACTTTTTGTTCGAGTATTATTGTACATGAAGATTTACACTCTGGGCTTTTTTTACACACGACACCCTTTTTCGATTTTGTGCGTGGATGTTTAAATATAAATCATCTTCGTAGATATCTGGGACACAGGACTTGATCAGTACTCTCAGGTTCTCAATGATGCTCTAGTGTTAACTCTTCTTCTTCGGTATAGTATTGTCGGACACTTCACTTCACTCAACTGATCAAATCAAAACGCGACTTGAATATAACGTAAATATATTTCAAATCCGATAAGTCTGATGCTCGAATGCTTAATCCTGGCTTCCTAGACGTTTCCTGATAGCCTAAAACTACCTCTACAATTCAACTCTGAACAATAGAAAAAAGTACGAAATGTGAGTAAAAACCTTATCCCAAGGTTAGTTTTGTACAGAAAATCGAGCGTATTTATGGAGCTCTGTGTGACCTTGGTCTTCTAAGGCTTCTTGGGATCATAAGAAATATAGGGACGATATGGGTATTTATCCAATCAAAAATGTGATACGTAATCCCTCAATTTCTGGATATTTTGTAGACTCTTCCATTCGTCGCTGATCAGATAAAACATTTCCTGGAGTTTTCTGGGATTCTAGAGCCTTCGACGATCAACATTTTTGGACTCTCCTACGAAAGTGAAACAGCAGGTTCAGCTAGATTAATATCGTAAGAAAATGTCAATGTATAGATAAACGCCACACAAGAATATTCTAGAGTTTTTTTGGTTCATCCACTAGCGCTTACTAGTTCAAAATGAACCGTTCAGCTCACTCTAGCGTGATCTTTTCTAAAACACGCTTTGACCAAGTTTCTCTCCAACATCCAACTAGTATCAAAGAAAGCAAGATCAAACTAACTTTGAAACGTTTTACGTCGTTGGTTGGCCTTAACCAAACAGCCAACTGAAACCTAAGAGTACTGAACAACCGCTTTGAACTAGATATTTATAAAAAATAATTTGGATATTCAACAATAATCAAGAAAATAAGGGTAACAGATAAGAATGAAACCTGCAGAGTATACATTTTTGTGCCTAGTAGTAAATAAATATGTATAAATCATGTAGCAATAAGTAAACTAAAATAATTCGTTCATAAGTAAAATTGATTTCACATTATAATGAATTGACTGAAGTTAGATATATAAAACATGAATTTCCGACGCACTCATCCAAAATTTAAGTTCTGGCTGTTAAACCTAAAGACTCAGGAAGTGATCCCCAGTTGTGCCTTGGATGCACATTGCTGAAAAGAAACATGTTGGAACAAAACAGTTGTAGAGCTGTGCTCGGTTTTTTATGGCTATCTAAAGTCACTCCGTTAAATTAACTACAAAATTCAGCCATCCCTATGAGCTCCCTATACTGATAACTCTAAATAATTCATACTACCAACTAACTTTAATTAGGTAACCAGTCAAAAGTGAAAAAGTGCTAAATAGTTGTTTCATGATATTATCATGAGACTCCTCAACGGCGACCATTCATGACCTAACTAGAGAATAAGCTAATGGCCTAAAGCAATCTGGTTTTCAATAGTTACTTAAATAAAATATAGTCGGTAATATAAACCACAAGATGGAACTATCTTTACAAATCTCTTATACTAATAATTTCAAATAATATCCATCTTCTTCCTTAATTTGTCCTTTATTTGTTTATTTACTTTTTGTTAGGACTTTTTAAAAGTATTTTTAACTAAACTACATCTGACTGCAACATGGAAAGCTGATGTTAAATATGGCATAGATCTTGGCGGTTCGGATTATGCGCAAGACACAGTAAGTCAATGGAAATACACGATAAATCACATACAGATTTTATTCATGTTTCCATTTGCTTTTAACTTTGAATAAATTATACATAATTATAGCTTTAAGTAATTTATTAATAATTATGATGAATTTTGTCCTAAATAAAGAACAATTTTTAAAATCCTTAAACTAATTATAACTGAATAATATATTTAAATCATGATTAGATAAAAAATGAAATATTGTGGTGTATGCTGCTTACGTTAACAGAAATAAGTAGTATGTAACATCGATCAGAAGTGGAATGTCTGTTAAAATAAAATTGAGATTACCAGATCTTTTTTCAATCAAAGTTCCTCTCATTTTTCTAAAGTAAAAGAAAATTACAGGAAGACCTCTACTGGCTTTTATTATAGCAATATCGGATCATGTCTCAAGTCACTGCGTCATGCTGTCTATAGAATCTCAACTACAGTGTAATAAAGGACCAACAGATGCCAGTTCTGGACAACTTTCCTTCATAACACGGCACCATGTCATATACTGACATCACGGCCTAACATTATTTGGACAATCTGTATAGACTGGGAAGTACTGATTAAATATTCGTTTTCTAATTTAGAAATGTAATGTTACAAAACTATATACTTCATCACAGATCAAACTTTCAGACTAGGCTTTCAAGTTTATTAGCAAATTAGTCATTATTTCAGTCAATTATGTTTAGCAAATGAACAGATCCTTATTATCGATGGCTGTGTCCTGATTAGGTAGCTGAATGATAATGTTTACCATAAAACTTAATGGTCCTTGATTTGACCTGATATCGAGTGAAGAATTTTGAACTAGAACTAAATAAATATTCAGTTCATTTACATTCCTAGGATTTCAAAATGTTAACCTATTCAATGGTTAAATAAAATAATATACTTGGTAAAACTTAAACTAGCCAAATATTTGAATAAAATAAGAAAATCGATAGCTGAAAAGATTGTTAAAGTTGCTTTTATTCCCAATGATGCAAAGACGTCATAACAACACCGATAAAACTTTATGAAATAAGATTTCACCATATAACCGACACAAATTTCTTTTCTCATGAAATAAATATGTACTTGTGTTTTAACAAAATTATGTTCTAGTCTAAATAATAAATAGAGCACTATCATTTGAAGTTATTGTAAGATTAAAAATAAATTCTTACATAGAATGAATAAAATATTCACTTGAATCAAAATTGATTGATAATTGGGTGGTGATCAATGTCATGCGTGTCAAGTCCTTCTTAGTGCTGATAGAATGCTATTGATCAAGTTGCAATGTGGTAACTAGTCTAGGTGGTTCGGCACTACGTGCACTATGTTGAGATAAGATGGTGGTTGGAGGTGGTCAACAGGAAACCCTGGACACGGGTTTCGTGCTACTTGGCACTCGTCAGCAAGGTGTACCTGTAATCTTGAGGGAACTGGTGCTCCCTGACGGATTCGATAGCATTCTATCAGCAATATGAAGGACTTGACACGCATGACATTGATCACCATCCAATGATCAATTAATTGTGATTACATCTCAGTCCTACAGGAGGTCGGTCGCGGCCTGAATAGCTCAGTGGTAACGTCTCTGACTGTGAAGCTGAGTGACATCGGGTCGAATCTGTCAGGGAGCACCAGTTCCCTCAAGATTACAGCTACACCTTGCTGACTAGTGCCAAGTAGCACGAAACCTGGGTCCAGGGTTTCCTGTTGACCACCTCCAACCACCATCTTATTCACTTGAATATCCCACTGAAGATAAACTGATACTCATGTACAAATCTCCAGTAATCCACTAACATAACAAATAGTTCATATTTAATGATTAATATCAAACACTGAATCTTTTTTATAGACTATTTTTCGTAGATTAGATTAATTGCGACCAAATATTGAATGATAATAATAATAATAGAAAATTCATTAATAAATCTACGGATTATATTTCTATGTCCTAGAAATTTGTACAATCATAGTAATAATAATATTCTTCTTAATTTCTATTTCTATCTTTTTGTTTGTTGAAATAAAATGAAAAATTGTACTGATTTTGTCATTTCCCTAATTGATATGAATATTCTTATCTTTTTTAAATTGAATAATATCGCTTACCATATGTTTGAATATGATTTGTCTATAAAATTATAATGTATATATCTAAAAATGAATATACGGATTTATCTATATCTGTTGTTTATTGACTATTTGTTTATTTACATTTATCCATGTTTCATATCATCATTGCCGTATACCTGTATGTCATGAATATTTTGATTTATTCACCGATAATCAATTTGATTGTAAATATACTTAATATTTAACCATACATTTTAGTGCTTTAAACAATTTAGTTACTACAAACTGACAAGTTGTATATCCGGTATTATAAGTTATGAAATGGTCAGTTTTAGTTAATGATATAGGTAGATGTTAGTATGTCTTATTTTTAATTATGTAGACAATGAATATCCTATCCGTTTACTTCCATGACTTTAAAAATGTACATCGTGAAATTTTAGTTTGATCAAATTCATGATTTCCAAGTTTAGCTGCAAACTGATTGTTTGTTTAGTATTCGGGGTTTAAATACTCTTCAACTTCAGTTAATCCATAAATATAACTCTACCAACTTTTGGTAGCAACAGGGTTATTCATCCTTACTTACAAATCCATTGTTTCTACAGATCATGAACGTAAGTTAAAAATTCAGGACTTATTCACGAAACTATGTATCGATGCGATGATACATTTTTCAACAACTATGAATATTACCGAGATTCTAGAAATGTCATCCATTATATAATTAATAAGCTCAGGAAATTAAAGTTAGAATAATTGATTTTCTAGTATTTTGCTTATATCAAGAATGGGAAAAGTACCACTTATGACACCCAACAATCAACAGAAATTGGGAATTTAGACCATCAGAAGCTGACTCAATAATCAAAATGTAACACTGTAGGTACCAAGTTTGATCTCTAATGCGACCATAGGTGTGCACTGTTGAAGAGTCACAAGCTAGTACAAGACAGTTGTTATATCTTGTATGGTTTTCAATAATAGTCCACTCACTAGAGTGAGGTCGATAGATATGGTGAAATCTACCTAAAAATTGAGATAAACTTTACAATTAACTTAAAGTAACCATACCATAATCATACCATCATTAATTTCACTGATGATATAAAATTTCACATTAAAGTATTACTGTATTTGAACACTGATACCATAAAATAAAAGCATTTTCACTCGCATTCAACTTATTCAGGCTATTGAAAATCCTGATTAAAGATTTTAGTGTTGATTAATTTACTTTCTAAAGAATGTAATTAATGAATGTATTTGTCTAACATTTTGTTTGCTACATTTTTCTGCATGTAGACATTTTTGTGTGTTGAAATTCAGTACATATGAAACACAACTTGCATATTGTTATTCGTCCACTTTTACTGGTATTTTTGTTACTAAGATTTACTCAGATAAATTGTACAAAATACATCATTCTCAACAACATGTAACAGTTACAGATTTTCACTATAAATCTTGTACGACAATGATTATTGCTATCAGCCTGAATGAACTCTTAAAAGATGATCATGTCTTTGATGAAACTCGTCAACAACAGTCATTAACCTCTCAGTTAACCACGACCTGTCTATCCAGAATTGTAGACAGCTGAGTTAATTATTTTAATAACCATTTTTGATTTAAAAGTTAATCATAATGTGGATTAGATATAGATTTTAAAATCCTACGACTAATTTTAATCTATCCTCATCAAAACAATTTCTCCCTTGATTCATTTTTATATTAGTTGTTTGAATATTCCCATTGATGTTTACGATTGCAATTGATCAGTCTGTTATCGGCATATGTGCATCCAGTACGGATTGTCTAAATATTGTTTTAGATCACAAGCATTATAAACAAAGGTGGATGGTAGCTAACAGTGGAATCCAGGATGCGCGTTTCGTCCTATTTGGGACTCTTCGGCTGGGTTTGCCTGAATGCATCTTGGATTCCACTGCTAGCCACCATCCATATCTGCTTATAATTTCACATTTGTTAAATTCGCTTTTACTGGAATTCGGTGGGAAAACTTATTAAGATTAAACATACAAAATCATTGCAACTGTGAAACATATTCTTACATTAAAGTAAAAGTCTTGATATTATGCATTATCAGAAATAATCTCCATTTGCTAAACTCGCATGTTCCTTTCATATACACAAGCATACATATTAATATCAAGAATTTTTAAAAACTTCATTTTTCCAATGATCCTATTGCATGAAATGAACTTTCATGAAAAAAATCCCTTTCTTTTTTAAAAACCCTTCTTCCCCCTTCTCCACCACTCTAACTCGAATATCCCTCCTTTACATTGTTGTATTTTCATTTGTTGTCATACATTCACAATTTAGTTGGGTAATTACCAAATTAATAAAACTACTACTCCACTTCTCTTATGTTTTTGCTATCCAACTCATTTTTTGTCTCTTCTTAATTCTACTAGATTGAAGTTCATATATTTAATAATTTGGAGCAAAAACCAATCCCTCCAAAATATATGGCGCTATACATAGGATTAGCTGTATTTGGAGGTTTATTACTCTTATCCATCCTAGTTATTATACTTTACAAAGTAAGTTGACTATCAATATATTCATTATATTTAAAAAATGATCAAAGTATTCACCATGAAGTTGTGAGGACTGTTACATTCAATTGAAATCATGAACCAATTAAGGTTAAACCACCAGTGGAGCTAAACTGTGTCAGGTGAGGCAGTTATCCACCGAAAGTAATGGGAGATGGTTGCACACTGCCCTGGATTGATTAAAGTTAGACACTAACACCGTTGGATTCTGGCCCGGTGGTGTACAAGTTAAGAGTTCACACGTAAGACCGAAAGTCCTGGGTTCGAGTCACGCATGCTGGATCGTGGGTGTGCACTGTTGGGGAGTCCCTTACCAGAACGAAACGGCAACCCAGTGCTTCCAGATTCTCATTGTTGGTCTAACTTAGCGGTTCATGGTTTCAGTGTCTTTTTTCTAGTATCAATTTTAAAAATTATTATTTGTTGATTACACCATATGATACATAGATGATTTTGGTTGATCAACTGGTTTCCCCTTAATTAGAAATAGTAACGACTAGAGCTGAAAAAGAGAAAATACAATAAATTTCGACAACAACAATTATCCCGACAGTTAATGTAATTCAACTGGCGAAAAGCAGATTTGATTCGATTTCAGCTTAATTATTAGTAAATTTTAGACTAAATTATTTGATTAAGGATTTTTAATTTTTGTTCAAATATTCAGGGAAACTTATTGTTAGTTAAATATCATCTTACACTGGCGGCTAATAAGCAATAATCATTTCTATCTATTATATCAATAAATCTTAGGTAAACAGTCAAAGGAATTTTTTAATAGTGGAAACCACTTCAAAGAATAAATCTTGTTCAGTTTATGTTTGTAAACAGTGAAGTGTTTATTGCTATGTCTCAAAAAGAAAGGCTACCCCTAAAATCCACTTGAGAATCACATAAAAAGCCTTAAATAAAAGTATTCGAACAAAGAATCAATAAGTAATTTAGATTCATATCTCATACATTCACCAAAAAACGTCTGAATATAATATAAACAAACGAAACTTGTGGATTTCAATGATTAACTCTACCTTGATCAAATTAAAACTATCCTTATTTGTTAAGAATAGGGATGACTAACAAGAATAAAAGAGTATAAGTATTGTCATTAATAACAGACAATACGAATTCAAACATTAAACAAAGTTGGTCCTGATCCCATTTGCAAATATCAAGCAAACAGTCAATGATGTCATCCGAATAAACTTTTAGTTTTCGACCTACCCATAAAAACTAAATAGCTTATTTTTATTCACAAACCTACTATACGAATAATTTAAATTTGACGAACCTAATATTAACTTACATTATTTTAGGCTGGTTTCTTTAAACGCAAACGTTTCATGCGAAGACGAACAAAAGTACCGCCTACAGAACCAACTCAAAGACTTGGTCAATACACTTCAACTGAACCAAAGCAAAGACAACCGTTGGTTTCGCCAATTCAAACAAGCTATCATGACGATAGAAAAATCAGTTCAAGACGAACAAATTATCATCCAGTGCCTAATACACAAGAACCAGCCTACCGTAGGACACCTTATTCACCTTCATCTGACTTCCCTATTTCACATAAATAGAAGACACTACACATAATGATTATTATAGATATAGATTTTTCTATTTTCTAACTTACCTACTGTTCTTTATAGGTAATTCAGAAAACTATTATTAATAACAACGATATATATATATATATATATATATATATATATATCCTCGACTGCTGCTCCGATAATATACACCACAGCTATAAAATGTGTAAATCCTATTATTTTACTCAGAATACTTTTATATTTGCTCACAATGTTTGTTTTCTCTTACCAACCTTTTTGTTATTCATTATGCCTATTATCAAATCAACGAAATAATTGTAAACTCTGAGATGCTTTCTATATTACTTTATATACTGTTCATCCACATACGCGCACATACATATCTTAATGCTGAAATCAAATGAGGCTTGGCGAGTCAATTGTTTGATCTTTTCAAACTTGTTTCAGTTAAACCTACTACCAATAGTAATAACAGTGGTATTATTAATGACAGTAAACTAGCCTATACTAGATCATTTTCAGATGACATTTTTATATGTACAAATATCTGGATACAACGCTGATAGTGACTTTCAACAAATACCCTTTGTTTGGCTCAATTTTTTTATAAATTTTATTTTTCAACGGAATGAAGTCTTTTCAATTTATTTCAGGGGAAACTATAAATAAATGCAATAGTTGCACAACCTCCATGGAAAGTTATCGTTATTACTACCTCATTTATCAGGTGCAGACTCATTTATTTGGCTTTAATACATAGTATGATTGTGAGGGCTAGTAGTACTACCCGATTGCTTAGACAGAAAGTGGCGTGGAATTTGAATCGGATATTTAGTGCTTCAAAGTCTAATGTCTTAATTACTGAGACACCCCACCGGAAGTATTGAAGTAAATAAAAATCATATATGTTCTCCTCAAAATAATTAAATCATCAATTTAAGTTCGTGTAAAACAAATTTTAAACAAACGATATGTCAGTTTAATGTATTACGTAGTTCCTCTAGAGACTACTGACGAACGCTCGTCCTCGAATCAAAGGTCAAAAACAGGGAAAACCAAAATATACCACAGTAGTGCACCAATGCTGCGTACCATGGTTCAAAACCAGAGACGATAGAGCCATAATGATATTGAAGTAAAAATAAACATACTAAGAACTAGTAGCAGAAGGAAATTGAGACTGTATAGTCCAACTTTTAGAATAGATTAAAGAACAGATACACATGTTTCAACCACCCCAGTCAAAAATTAATTTACAAAATGTTTTAGCGATAGGGTCAGAATACGACAAATTATACGTTTTCCTTACATCTTTGTCTGTTCGTGTGTCTATAATTTGTCTACTGAATATTTTTCGTGCATTTCACATCTGACTCCGCCTGTAGCTCCTCCAGGGGCTACTGCCGGTCCCAAGCCCGGGTAAAGGAGGAGGGTTGGGCATGGGGTTAGCGACCCCATCCCGTAGAAAATCAACTCGCTAAAAAAACGCTAACCAGAAAAATTCATTCAAACCATTCAAACTCTGCCCTGGGAGTAGAAGGAAAAATGACGTCTCATGATGAAAGCCGAGTTCCTTCGGAAGTCATGAGGCCGATGCACCTTCTTACAACCAGAGCAACAATTTTTATAGGTACATGGAATGTCCGGACAATGTGGGAGACCGGCAGAGTCTTCCAAATTTCTGCGGAAATGAGGAAATACAACCTGGAAGTGCTTGGAATCAGTGAAACACATTGGACGCAGGTTGGACAACAACGACTGTCTTCAGGGGAACTTCTGTTATACTCCGGTCATGAAGAAGAAAATGCCCCACATACACAAGGAGTTGCACTGATGCTGTCTAGAAAAGCACAAAATGCACTTATAGGATGGGAATCTCATGGACCGAGGATCATCAAAGCCTCCTTCAGAACAAAGAGAGAGGGCATTACAATGAACATCATCCAATGCTATGCGCCGACCAACGACTACGATGAAGACGCTAAAAACCAATTCTACGATAGGCTGCAGTCAATCTTCGAGAAGTGCCCAACCAAGGACCTGACCATTCTAATGGGAGATTTCAATGCCAAGGTTGGAATGGACAACACTGGATACGAAGACGTCATGGGACAACATGGACTGGGAGGAAGGAACGAAAACGGTGAGAGATTTGCAAACCTATGTGCCTTCAATAAACTGGTCATAGGTGGCACCATATTCCCACACAAAAACATACACAAAGCCACTTGGATTTCACCGGATCACACTACACAGAATCAAATCGACCATGTCTGCATCAACAAAAAGTTCAGGAGGACGATGGAGGATGTGAGAACCAGGAGAGGAGCTGATATAGCATCCGATCACCATTTGCTGGTCGCCAAGATGAAACTAAAACTCAAGAAGCACTGGACAATGGCGCGGACAACATCACAAAAGTTTAACACGGCCTTTCTTCGAGATGCTGACAAACTCAACGAATTTAACGTAGCCCTCAGCAACAGGTTCGAGGCCTTTCATAACCTACTCAATGAAGAGGGAACCACCATAGAGAGCAGCTGGAAAGGTATCAAGGAGGCAATCGTTTCAACATGTCAGGAGGTTCTGGGCCAAAAGAAGCACCATCACAAGGAATGGATCACTGTTGGTACACTGGATAAAATTGAAGCAAGGAGGAACAAGAAGGTAGCAATCAATATCAGCCGAACAAGAGCAGAAAAAGCCAAGGCACAAGCCGAATACACAGAGGCAAACAAGCAAGTGAAGAGGAGCATCAGGACCGACCGACGTAAATATGTGGAAGATTTAGCGATGACAGCGGAAAAGGCTGCAAGAGAGGGAAACATGAGACAACTGTATGATACAACAAGGAAACTTGCTGGAAATTACCGTCAACCAGAAAGACCAGTGAAAAACAAGGAAGGCAAAGTAATCAACGATATTGAAGAACAACGAAACAGGTGGGTAGAACACTTCAAAGAACTCTTGAATCGACCAGCTCCACTGAACCCACCCAACATCGAAGCAGCACCCACAGACCTCCCAATCGATGTTGGCCCACCAACAATTGAAGAGATCAGCATGGCCATTAGACAAATCAAGAGTGGCAAAGCAGCGGGACCAGACAACATCCCGGCAGAGGCACTGAAAGCAAATGTAACAGCAACTGCCAAGATACTCCACATCCTCTTCGGTAAGATTTGGGACGAAGAACATGTACCAACAGACTGGAAAGAAGGACTTCTCATCAAGATACCAAAGAAAGGCGATCTGAGCAAGTGCGACAACTACAGAGGCATCACTCTCCTCTCAATACCAGGAAAAGTCTTCAACAGAGTATTGTTAAACAGGATGAAGGATTCCGTGGACGCTCAACTTCGAGATCAACAAGCTGGATTTCGTAAGGATAGATCGTGCACAGATCAAATCGCAACTCTACGTATCATTGTGGAACAATCAATCGAATGGAATTCATCACTGTACATCAACTTCATCGACTACGAGAAGGCATTTGATAGCGTGAACAGGACGACACTGTGGAAGCTTCTTCGACACTACGGTGTGCCTGAGAAGATAGTAAATATCATACGGAACTCCTATGATGGACTAAACTGCCAAATCGTCCACGGAGGACAACTCACCGACTCGTTCGAGGTAAAGACCGGTGTAAGGCAAGGTTGCCTACTCTCACCCTTTCTCTTTCTCCTGGTGATCGACTGGATTATGAAGGCGTCAACATCTGGAGGAATGCACGGGATACAGTGGACAGGCAGGATGCAGCTTGACGATTTAGACTTCGCGGATGATCTGGCTCTTCTATCACAAACGCAACAACAAATGCAGGAGAAAACGACCAGTGTAGCAGCAGCCTCAGCAGCAGTAGGTCTCAATATAAACAAAGGGAAAAGCAAGACTCTCCGATACAATACAATATGCACCAATCCAATTACACTTGACGGAGAAGCTTTGGAGGATGTGGAAATCTTTACATATCTGGGCAGCATCATTGATGAACACGGTGGATCAGATGCAGATGTGAGGGCGAGGATCGGCAAAGCAAGAGCAGCATACCTACAGCTGAAAAACATCTGGAGCTCAAAACAATTGTCAACCAACACCAAGGTTAGAATTTTCAATACAAATGTCAAGACAGTTCTTCTGTATGGGGCAGAGACGTGGAGAACTACGAAAGCCATTATCCAGAAGATACAAGTGTTTATTAACAGCTGTCTACGCAAGATACTTCGGATCCGATGGCCAGACACTATCAGCAACAAGTTACTGTGGGAGAGAACAAACCAGATTCCAGCGGAGGAAGAAATCAGGAAGAAGCGCTGGAAGTGGATTGGGCACACTTTGAGGAAATCACCCAATTGTGTCACAAGACAAGCCCTCACATGGAATCCTGAAGGTCGAAGGAGAAGAGGAAGACCAAAGAACACATTACGCCGAGAAATAGAGACAGACATGAGAAGAATGAACAAGAACTGGAAAGAACTAGAAAAGAAGGCCCAGGACAGAGTGGGTTGGAGAAAGCTGGTCGGCGGCCTACGCTCCATTGGGAGTAACAGGCGAAAGTAAGTAAGTAATTTCACATCTGACTGTTTATATCAAGGTTGTTGTTTTTCAAAGTATGATACACGGAATCAAACTGAACTGCAGGCAACTAAGGGCTACAAATGTGCTAACCATTCAACTTTATTCGCTTTTGAACCAAGTTTCTTATCAATTTTTCATTTCTATTTTAATCATTAGCCCATCGCTATTGAAGCTGACATATTTGAATAGCTTTGGATTTATACGTACTTATTTTCTTAAGCAGGCTATCAAGTGAAAAATAATTTGACCGCTTTAAAACTGTGGTAAGTTGTTAGATATTGAAGGACTTCACTAATTTTGTTGGTTGTGTTTCAGAAATCCATATCCAATGGCTTATTGTAAGGTTGCATTTGATCCTAAAATCTGTAGTTTATATATGAACTTAGTTACGAACTACAGCTCTGGTTTAGACGGAGGTGGCAGCTTCTATCATTAAAAGGCGT